GGTTAATTACATGAAACAGGCTAAACTCTCGGGAGAATACCAGCGATGAGAGTGTAGTGGGCCGTGTTCATTGTTCCCATTAATAGAGGTGGGACGCACACCTCTTTCTTTATGTAGTCTGATAAAAATACAACTGGGAAAGAAATAAAACTAACGCACTGAAAAGGCACTGAGCCATTTATTTGGAACTGTGCTTTGGGTGGCCTGAGCATTCCACCTTCACATCCCTTTTCTGGCTCTGAAGTCATCGCCCTCATTTACCCTGTTGCACAGTCTTTCCAGCCTGGAAACCTCAGCATCAACTATAACTTCCTTTTCTTGTTCGCTCTCTATGAACAATTTATTACCAAATCTTCTCAATTTAGAAACAGCTCTAAATCCAGCCACTGTCATTCACACCACAGCCAATACTTGGTCTAAGGCCTTGTCAGCTGGGCCTTGCTAGACCTTTTTAAAAAAAAGGTTTACTAAGCACTGCTCACAACAGCAAACACCTATGCAATGCTTACTATGTGCCAAGAACTGGTAAGAGCATTTTATTCTCAAAATAACGTGATGAAATAGGTGCTGTTATTATTCCTGTTTGACAGAAAAGGAAAATGGAGAACAGAGAGGCTAAGTAGCTTGTCCAAAGTCACACAGCTGGTCAGTAGCAGATCTGGGATTTGAATTCATGTGGTCTGTCTCCAAAGTCTCTGCTCTTAAACCACGGAAGCATACCGCTTCTGTTTTCATTTAACCCACTATTATTTTTGTTGCTGTTGCATTTTTTTTTGAATACGTAAAACAGTTAACTGGCTCAAAGTTCAAAACCTACATAAGGCTGCACATTGAAAGCCTCCCTCCCATGCCAGTTCCTCATTACCCAGGCCCCTGTTCTGGAGATAATCAGCATCACCAGTTTCTTAATAGCATCCCAGGCAAATGCTTGTATGTTATTTCCCTCTTTCCCGCCGCGCCCCCCCCTCCCCCCAACACACACACACAAATATAGTATACTGGATGTAATTTGCCATGTTGCCTTTTTCACTTAACAGCACTATTGCAGATAATTCCGTATCAGTACATGAAGAGCTTCCTCATCCTTTTTCTTTCTTTTTTTGAAAGAATGCAGATGGTCAAAACTAGGGGTGGGCAAACTTTTTCTGTAAAGGGCCAGATAGTAAATATTTTAGGCTTTGAGATCCATATGGTCTCTGTCATATATGCTGCTTTTTTTTTTTAAACTTTTAAGATGTAAAAACATTCTTGTCTCATGGGTTGTACAGAAGCAGGCTGCAGGCTAGCTTTGGCCACAGACCATAGTTTGCTGATCCTTGAACCAACAGGCTCTTACCTTGCTGCCCTGTATGCAGTCTTCCTCCACTTTGGCCCCTTCTTGACCATTCTGAAGCAGCCAGATTCCTACCGTACAAATGTGCCCGTGCCACGGATCCCTTTAAACCCTCTGTGGCTCCCTCGCCCAGCAGGGGCAAGTTCAGATTGCTTGGCGGTGCCTACAGAGCCCTCCTCCTTATGTCACTTCTACTGCACTGGTCGTGGCCACCCTCAGCTCACCTCCTACAGAGACCGCTTTGCCCCACTCCTGCTATTCAACCTCTTGCCTCAAATCCAATCTCCATACCGCAGCCCCAAGGACCTTTTACAAGTGCAGATCACATCTGGGAACCTCCAATGGCTTGTTGCTGCCCTAGAAGGAAGTCAACGTCCCATATCACAGTCTGTAAGGTGGGCTGGCTCTGCCTGGCCCTCCTGTCCGACCTCATTGCCACCATCCTCCCTCCCTCTGCTCCCCACTCTCCAGCCACACTGACTTTCCTGTTCCTCAAACAAGCCAAGCTCAGTTCTGTCTCTGTGGGTGCTGTTCCCTTGGCTCACTCCATGGGGTCAGCTTCAGTTCAAACATCACTTCCTTAGCGTAGCCTTCCCTCACCTCCCAGCCTACAGGGGTCTCTCCGACCATCCCCCATCACATCATCCTGCTTTATTTTCTCCATGTCCCTATGGCCATCTCTTGTTATATCTTGGTCTGTAGCTGCATCTCTCTGCTCTGCTGGACGGTGTGGGCATCACCAGTGCCCAGCACATCGCTTGACCCATATGACATGAGCCCTAAACATTTTCTGATTGAACAGTTGAAGAATTTCAGCCCAATTAACCTTTCTGGAGGATCGACCCTCACTCCTCACCTTATATTTCAATTTCCAGTTCCACTGGTCTTCTTGCCAATCATTAAGCATGGATTTCCCTCCTAAGATTTTATGCCTTTGCACTTGTTGCCATTTCGGTCATCTTCTCCTTCTCTGAGAAACAAACTCCTGCTCACCCGTCAACACCCAGCTCAAAAGTTACCTCTTCTATGAAGCTTTTATACTTTCTCTTGCCAGGGTCAAATTCTTCCTCTGGCAGCCCCCAGAGCACTTTGTACAGCCCTCCATGGTCATACTGGGTCATAATTATTTACCTAACACCAATGCTTATTTATTTACTTATTATTCTCTGAATACTCCCAAACATTTTATATATACAATACATATACATATACATATACTTCATTTTCATTTTACCTACACTGAGCTCTTTCAGGGCAGGGACGCTCTGAATGGTGTTTTTATGGTAAGTATGAACATATAATAATATAAATAGCAGCACTTTGCTCTGTGCTTTATGTACATCATCTTATATAACTCTCCTAATAACCCTAATGAAGCAGGTACTATTATCATCTGTGCTTTGCAGATGAGGGAACTAAAGTGAGGTTAAGTAACCTGTCCCTGGTTGACCTGGGATTCACTATGCGGTCATCCTGCAGCCTGCTGGTACGGTGGCTCTTGAAGGTCTGCTTGCCCTTGAGCTCTCAGTGTATCAGGGGGGTGTATAAATGTGTCCTGTTTCCCTGTGGGAGACCTGGGGTGCAGCTATCCTCAGAGAGAGATCATTTGGGACTCTTTCACTCCCCTGCAGCAAGGTGCTCCCTTGTGGGGGGCCCAGATGTCCCTCTGCCAGCCAGATGGAGAGGCGTAGCGACTAGGCTGCCCTCCACACACCTGTGACCATGCCATCCCCAAGGGCAACCAGATGTCCTTGGGGCCTGCCTCCTGCTGACACATGCTGCTTATCCATGTGGACATAAGCCGCTCTGCCAGCTCACCCCGGAGCTAATGCGAAGGGACCACAGGGCTCCGGGCAGGAGGGTGAGAGTCCAGAAGGCAGAGGCGACAAGGGCAGAAAGATCAGCCATTTCTTTATCCTTTCTTTAGTTATTTATTTTTTCCAGCTTCACTGAAGTGCAACTGATAAATAAAAATCCTATATATTTAAGGCGTACGACATGATGCTTTGGTATACGTATACATTGTGAAAAGCACAGCAATGGAAACAGCAAAATGAAAAGGCAACCTATGGAATGGGAGAAAATATTTGCAAGCCAGATATCTGATATGGGGTTGGTATCCAAAACATGTAAGGAACCCATACAACTCAACAGCAAAAAAAGCAAAAACAACAACAAAAACAACGAAACAAACCCCCATTAAAAAATGGGCAAAGGACCAGAACAGATAGCTTTCCAAAAAAGACAAACAAATGGCCAACAGGTATATGAAAAAGTGCTCAACATCTTTCATTCTTTCCTTTACATGAGGAAACTTTCCTTCAGGAATAAGGACAACAGGCACCAATTAGCATGCGTTTTCTAAGAAGCACAGACTCCCTCTGCTGCAGAGTATATCCTGGTGCAGAGGAGAGTCCTGGGGTAGACTCACTGTAGTCTGGCCTCTCTTTGTGGGCACGGTATACTTTTTCAGCTCATCGGGAAGCTCCTGTCTGGAGAACTGGGTCTTAGACGTTAGGGTAGTGCTACTCACAGTGTAGTCCTTGGTTCAGCAGCATCAGAATCACGTGGGAGCTCTTTAGAGCTGCAGACTCTGGGCCCGACGCCACACCAACAAATCAGAATTTGAATTTGAATATGATCTCCCCGGAGATGCGTAAGCACATTCAAGTTTGAAAAATACCGACCTAGGGTACCTGCTTAAAATGCAGGTTTGGGGTTCTACGCCTTAAAAGCTCTGATTCACTTGATCAGGATGAGATCCAGAAATCTAACAAGTACCACCTACTTTTCCTGTCTGCCTACTTTTCTGAGCAACTGTGGTGTAGAGGCCGAGTTCTGTGGTGGAAACAGTATAAGTGCTATGTTTAGACTGTTCTGAAACCAAACCTCAGCTCTACTACCTGCAAGCTAGGTAATCCTGACGAACAACTTCATGTTGGTAAGCTTTAGCTTTCTCAACTATAAAACGGAGATACTATATGACTATCCCTTTGGCTGTGAGGTTTAAAGGTGACAGCTAGCATATGTAAAGTGCCTAGCACTGAATCTGAGACATATAGCATGTGTCAATGTTAAGTATTATAACTATTGGGTCAAACAGCTATCCATGGTTGTACCATTGACTGGTGGATTGGGCCAGATAGTCTTGATTAATTTCAACTGCAGGGACTGGGGAAGCCAAACAGGGCTCACCGAGCTGTGATGGCTGTGGTTTCTCTGTTATTTAACCCTGACCTTCAAGACGCAAAGAAGGGATTAGCATGCAGCAGCTATCAAACTTGACTGTGTATCAAGAATCACCTGGGAAGCAAATTAAAAATACTGATTCCTGGGTGCTGCTTCCTAGAGATTCTGTTTCATCAGGTCTGGGATATGGCCCAGGAATCTGCATTTTTATCCCTGGGGGATTTGATGCACGAGTCCTCCAACCTCACTTTGAGAAACAATGGTTTGAAGAGTATGTGTGTTTATTCCATAAATGAGGAGCTTGATGCATGTGGGACCCTGGGCTGGTGCTGGAAAATACACACAAGGATGAGTAACACTCTGCCTGTGTCTGCCCTGCTGGGAGCTGGGACTTCCAAGGAGAACGCAGGTAGGGTCTGTACTGTTCAGCTAAGGTATTAAAAAACAGCAGCCAGAAAAGCAATGAAAAAAGCCATACCTGGGTTTCTGCAGCTTCAATGCTGTGGGAGAGATTTCCATTCTGTATAGGTTCTGAAGTATCACTGGATGGCGTCATTTCAACTTCTGTGCTGGTGCTGTTTGGGAGCTCGATTTTTTCTGTGACATAATTCAGACACACACAAAGAAAGCAAATGGAGTCAATGGGGTAAGAGCCTATTGGAAAGAACATCCTAAAATGTTGGGTCAAGGGAGAAGATAGTGGTCCCTGAGGGGTGAAAAGCCCCATTTCCCCCCCACGCTTTTCAGCATACGCAGCTCTCCTGCTCTCTTTAATAGCTCTGTGATTTCCCACTCTGGCCTGATGTCCTAACTTGAGTGCCTTATCCCCTCCCATGGTATGCATTCTCTAGATTCGGCAAATGTACCAACTAGCCATTCAAGAACATGAACACAGACACCTGTTAACCCAAATCAGCCTACACACCATTGTTTATACTTATGACCACACCCCTCATACATACACACACACACACACACACACACACACACACACACAGTAAAACCTTGGATTGCGAGTAACTTGGTTTGCGACTGTTCTGCAGATGAGCAAACATTTCTAATACATTATTTATTTATATTTATATTTTTTTTAGCTGAGCCATCCTGCCACCTGTTGGCAGCTCAGCAGCAACTCAGCTTGGGCCAGGAATAGAATCGCTGTTGCTCAGAACTCACACTCTTGAGCGAGCTCTTAACCAACTGAGCCACTCGGTCAGCCTCTAATACATTTTAACGTGGTAAACGAGCAGTGTCTTGCAATATGAGTAGTTTATTTCCAGAACAAATTATGCTTGCAAACCAAGGTGTTACTGTGTGTGTGTGTGTGTGTGTGTGTGTGTGTGTGTGTGTGTGTGTGTATAATTATTTTTTTTTACAGCTGGATCTTTTCTTCTGTACATTCTGGAAAAGATACTGGGCCTACAGATACATGGGTCCTAGGCTATGCTCTACTATATCAGGCTGTCACCTTAGACAGGTCCCCTCTTTCCTCTGGATTTCAGGAAACATATCTATGAAGTGAGGGGGTTCAACGGTTGACCTCCATGGCTGCTTCCAGATCTAATTCTCTCTGGCTCTGCCAGTGCCTGGGTGGCCATGGGGAGGGCAGGCTCGGGAACCCAGCCTTCTCAAAAATGCCTGGAGAATGCTACTTAGCACATTCCACACCCAGGCATTCTATTGCAGGCAAGGGGTTGCTGAACAGGTAATGGAGACAAAAGTCTGTAGCATTCCTGAATGAGAGGTAATGTTTGGCTAGCGTGAAGCCACGGGTCAGCAAGTGCAGATGCATTTTCCTCTAGACGTTGAGAAGTGAGTCGCGGGTAATGGTGAAGCAATGGGACTCTTTGACACTGGATATCTCAACCAGTCTGGACATCAGACTGGTTTCATACTTTGGCTCTACAACTTATGCTGTGTGACCCTTAGCGAGTGACTTACTTCTCTGAGATTCAGTTTTCTCATCTGTAAAACTGGAGTGATAATGACAATAGTACTATGACGACAATGATGACTACTACTACCACCACCACCAATATGGTCAAAGGGTATGCCAAGCACTTAGCACACTGCCTGGTACAGAGCAAACAAGCAAGAAACATTAACAATTCTAATCCTCATAACAGTACCTGCCTTGAACTAGATTTGTTCTTTTGTTCTTTTAGGGCTCAGAGGAGCACTTCCAGGTGATCAGTGTTCAGGGACCACCAAGGTGTGCCATGACTTCAGTGGGAGGGAGGTCCTCTGGCTGTGCTGGGTCAAGTCTTAGATTTCAGGAGACAATGAAGCTGTTTGGCTCAGTGTCAGAGCTGCCAGGGTACTGGAATGCTCATCCGTATCGGAAAATTGCAGTACCAGGCTGCTCACAGAGTGGCAAAATACGTTTTTGTCTAGCAACTTCAGAAGAAGTAAAAAATTTCTATCCCTGGTAAAATATCAGTGGAAAATAATTTGGGAGTCACACAAAAATTGTTGAGTTTGAAGTGGCCACATCTGGGGAATCACAGGGAAATCTTTAAAATTTATGTATTTAGTTGTGGAATACAGAGGCATAAATATATTTAAATATGGAAAGCCATAGAAACTCAAATTTATTTTATCTTTCCATGTTTTTAGCAGTGACAGTTACATAGATGTGATGTTCTGTTGTGTGTGGCTATGCCAGGTTATCCTAGCATGTTGGTTCAGTTATTTAAATTAAAAAATACTAACTACCCGAGGGGAACATAAAAACTCTGTTCAGGGGAGTCTGTTGGCTGAAGAAATACAACTTTAGGATCAGCCTGCAATAACCAAAGTTGACTTTGACAACACAGGATACTGGGTACCAAAGTGGAGTTAAGATGTCCAAGAAAGACATGAACAGATGAGACGAAAGAAACTCCCAGGTGTAATATCTAACCAAATATGCATGTCTTAGCTTATGAATGACTTTTATATGGCAGGCTGAGGTTTATCACAAAAGAAAAATGTGAAAATAAATCTTGGACTTACTTTCAAAAGCATTAGTTTTGGACACACATTATCTTTAGTTATAAAGTCGTTCAGAGACTGAGTGAGCACTGGAAGGATCCTTGGAGTTATGCATCCTACCTCCTCATGCAAGGTTAATGCCAAGAATAAGAGGGTCAGCTAGTCATTAGGAAGAGGACTGGGACTGACTCCGGGCAGCTAAGTCTTGTATTCCAGCTGCCTCATTCCACAAGAGGGAAAGTAACAAACGGGGCTGAAAACTAGCTTGTGTAATTGAACTGAAATATCACAAGTATAACTTAGCTTTTGCAATTAGTCTTCTGTGGTGTGGTTTTGCATTTTTAGAATACAAAAGCAAAGTATGTTCATTCTAAAACATTAGCCCAAGTTCACAGAAACATAAAGAAGCAGTGAAAAAATATATAACTCATAATTCCAACTCCAAGATGTAACTATTGTTAGCATTTTAGCTTATGTTCTTCCAGTTTTTATTTTTATTTTTTTATACCCAATAGAATCTTGACTGTTTCTCGGTCAAAGGTTTTCCCTGAGCTGGAAGTTAGGATAGCAGGAGAGGCAGAAATTCTTCTAAGGAGCATCATGTATTTTGAGTGCAACACGGTTGAATTTTTGTCTGCAGATAATTTTAGTTTCTTGGGCAATAGCATCATTTATAGCATAGATCCAGATTAGGTTAAATTTAGTTGAATTTAGAATTAGAGAGCTATATTATAGTTACTGACAAGAGAGGAGGAACTTTATGTTCCAAGTTAAAATAAATTCCCTGAATGCCCTGACCTGGTCAAACAGGAGCTCAGAAGAAGTCAGCCAGAAGAGAATGGGGCTAGTGTTGCTGAATTCTTAAGGAAGGGGAGGCTATGTCATCTTGCAGGGACCCTGCCACTTAGTTTAGGAGTGACCAAGTGAACCATCTGGTAATTCAGGGGGTGTGCTGTATGCAATGCCATTGGTATACAATTTGGTTACCGGGCAAGAATTTCAGAAGGGGTACTCTCTCACCTGTGGTGAAACATGAAACGAAAAGGGTGTGTGTGTGTGTGTGTGTGTGTGTGTGTGTGTGTGTATCCTTTTCATACGGAATCCCTATAATAAAGTAAATACATGCATTTCCATCTTCAAGGGAAATGTCTGGTTAGGAGTTGTTTTATTTCAGGTTCCTCACAGAATCACTTGACTTTTCTTGGAGTTCTCCTACAGTAGGTGACACACTGTGCCTATCCATACCCTGTACCCAACGGGACTCCTCCTGACACCTAGGAAAGGGCTGAGCTGCAGGGTTCTGTGTGTGCACTGAGTCAGGGGTGCCCATCTTGGGTCCTGCTCTCTGCTCCCCTCCACCAATTCCAGGAAAGGCACCGGGTGGAGTCTTCCTGTACTCACCTACATGATTGGCAGCTCCATTCTGCCTCTCATTCTCATCCACCTGGCATTTCTTCTTGGCAATCTTGTGGAGAATTGAAGCTTTTTCTCTGAACCTCCCTGAAGCAAGAGAAAGTGGTGAAAGGAAACAGGGTGAGGAGGGAGATAAAGAGAGAGAGAGGTCTGTGGAAAAGGGCAAAGCATGGGCAAAGCAGGCACGTGGCTTCCTTCGCTGTGCTGCACGATAGCAGCGACCACTCCTCTCTGTTCAATCCAAGTGCCCTATATCCCGCATGAAGGGCATCTCTTACATTTGTGGATTCTTCAGCTTAATTCTCTCTTTGAGAATCTCAAGCTGCTGGACCATAGACAAAAGACTTGGACCTCTTCATGCCCTTCTAATTGCTTACAAAATAAATGAAAGCACCAATCATCACTAAAACTCCCCCTACTACTGAGACCCAAAACAAATCCAAAGAAACAGAGCTGCATTGGAGGCACAGCCATATCTCTGGAATTCAATACTCATCCCACAACTGGCTTTTGACAATGGAAAGCCAAGCCCAGGGATCCTTTGATTTGACTTTGGTTTTCAAACATTTATCATAATTAACATTGCAGCTTCTAAACAAGTCAGTAGCATGCATCAAAGCTTTCCAAATTAGCTGAGTCAGCTGCAATTAAAGCATCAAGGAGACAATTGATTCCATTTGGGAATTTAAGGCAAAGAATGATGAATTGAGCACAACAGGTAATATCCATCGGTGATGAAACGCTTTGGGAAAGGTCCTGGAAAAAAATGCCATTTCAAAGTAATCATTTTAAACAGGTGTACCACAAGTACAACACTTCATTTCTTTCAATTATTGACATAATTAATGGGTAAGTGCATGCAACAAGCACAGAAAAAAAAAGCATGCAAAAGTGTAGAGATTAGTAAATCATAGCACATTTTTCTTCTTTAATCTTATATTCCACCTCCTCCATCCCCAGAACATTCAAGGTACAAAGGAACCTCATTTTAAACTGTTTATTGCCTAGATTCAGATATGATGTGTCCCCTAAAACACCACAACTCCTTCAATTTTCCCTTCAGGTATCTGCTGCTGGTCGGGTTCTCTAGCAGCATATTAACAGGGGATCTCATTTGCTTTTCTAGTTAGACCAAAATCAAAGCAAACCAGACCCAAACGTTTCTCTTGGAGAGTCTCTCCTAGGATGAGATGCGGCAGGTTGGCATCCACACCCCTCCCTTCCTCATGGGTGGAAAGCATGGGGTCGGGTCATAGTGATGACTTGGGTGACTGGTTGGGAGAGAGGAAGCTGTAAACGAGTGAGATCAGTTGCTTCTAATGGTGAAGGTGACATAGGACAGAGCCCTTTCTGCTCACAGGCTCCATTAGTCAGAATCCTAGATGACTTGCTACCACAGACAATTGCTGGGATGTAAGTACCTTAGTCTAGGCAATGAATGTGCTCCAGAGGAAGTAGGAAGGACATTAAATGGAGAAAAGTAGGTCAGTATGTGGCTTGGGCTTCACGACGAATAAGGATGAGGTGATGGCTTTAGGGATTGTGAAGGTCAGCATTAGGTTCACCATGCTGAAAAGCATTCTGAGTTTAGCTGTTTCTACTTAATCTTCAAGGGAAACTCTGGGAAGAAAAAGGGAAAGGAAAGAAAGTCTGGGGACTAGGAAAAGGAACAGGAAAGGAAAAAGGAGAGAAAAAGAAGTAATTCAAGGAAGGAGGAGGTAGGCAGGGGGCTATGATTGTCTGGAGGTTGCCCAGGCAGCGTGGATGGAAGACGCTTGCCTGGTCTTATTTGGGGTCTAGCCAGACAGATAATGAAGCATGGTTTTCAGGTCTCCATAGCCTGAAGACTAAAGAGGAGTATTTCTTGTAGAAAACAACTCCAAGAAGTCCTCAAATCATATACTGAAAAGAGGAAAAAGGCGGTTCTGAAACTTTATTGGAAATGATACTTCTACTAATAAAATCGTTCTGTGGTCTCTAGATCATTTTTTGAGCTCGAACATTCAGCAGCTCTACGAAATAAAGATGATCACTAATTACTATTTTACAATTATGTATTAAATAATAATAATAAAGCAAGAAAGCATTCAGGAGAGGAAATAAAACCTGAAATAACCCAATCCAAGTAATTCCCCAAAGTCATGAATCATGGCAGAGAAACTATTTGATAGAAACCAGCTAACTGCATATTTGCTTGTGGTTATAAGAACCATTTCAGAGCTTAGATATGTACCCGAGAGAAATGATTATAAAAGGGACCCAAAAGCATTGAAAGGTTCAACCACTCCCTCTGTCAGGAAATACTGAACAGTGATGGGTGGTTTCCCCAAATTCTCTAAAGGAGGGCTGGAAGAGTAGGGTAGGAAATGATTCTAGAATTAGAATTTCGTAGGTTCTCAAACACTGGAACAGGTCAGCGAAGGTTTTCTTGCTGTGTGTCACCACCTTTCCCAAAGCAGCAGCACAGAGAATTTTCTATGCTATAGAAAGGTGGGAGGGATCAGCCTTATCTGTTCTGTCTTGGGGGTTAGCCTTAGGGGCCTGCCACAGGCAAAGCTGCAGAGGCTGGCTGGGGAGTTATCTTCTCCACCCACGTCTTCAACTTCTTTAATTCAACTTTTGTCAGTTAGCAAGACCTGATTATCATTTTGCATGCTGAGTACTGACAATGGCTGAAAGGGTTTTCTCTTAAAGCTTAGTTTCTAGAAAAGCAGGTGAAGGCGCCCCTTCAGAATTCAGCACACAGATGCTCTCCTGAGGTGGGGCAGAGCCTGACAAAGCAAGGCATGCTCATCCCAGCCCAACTGGACACCCCTGGGATCGCCACAGGGCACTATTTGAGAAAAGCTGTGAGGAAGAGGCTAGTAGGACAGGAGTGAGCATGAGGTACTGGGGTAGAAGCCATCACAGAACCTATGAATGTCAAAATGACTTGTTCAGCCTGCAGCCACAAACTGGGCAGAACACCAAGTAGGGGGTATATGTTGGGGACAGTACAGTGCTGTGGTTAAATGGATGTGATTCAGAGGCAGGTAGATCTGGGTTTTAGCCCTGCCTCTCACGTGCTCTGCTGGGTGAGTTTTGGTAACTTCCTGAATACTTCTGTGTTTCAGTTTTCCTGTTAAATAAGGGTTCCAATGGCATTGACTCATGAGTCACGTACAAGGCTCAAATGAGAAAGTGTGTGTAAGGGGCTTACCACGGCTCCTGGCAGTGGAAGAAGTCTGTAACCAAGAGGAAAAAGAAAAACTAACAAAAAGTTCAGGGGCAAGGGTGACATGGCCCCGAATTGCTTTAGGAGAACCACTGACATCTTCCTGTTTCTCCATCCACACACACAGGATTGGGGAATTAGCCACATCCTGACCCCACAGTTTAAGCATCTCTGGGGTGCCTTGTTGGATTGGGTCTCAGGTTTCAGCGAGTCCTCCAAAGTCAATTCCAAAACTGATTAGGAAAAGGGTCACTTGAGATCTTCCCCAAATTGAGAAGGTCAAGGTGACGGAGCTGGTCTTCTGTGTTTTAAACTTTGAGACCCCTGCAATTCAAAAGGAAAGATGGTGATCAACTTTTCCCATCCCTGTGAGGTCAGACCCAGGCCAGGTACTACTGCCGCTGCACAGTGGATTTGGGTCGGCTCAAAAGAGCTTCCTGATTTTTAATTTCCTGAGTTGTAACTCCTCTGTGTCACAGGCTCTGAATTTTAAAATGGGGATTCCCCTCATACAGTTGTTGGAAGGCTCGATGCGTTAATACACATCAGGTGTTTAGATGGCCTTTGATGTGCAGTAAATGTTCAGAAATCGCTACTCAGATAGGGTGGTTATTGTGGGAGTAAATGACAGGACGTTTTTCCCATAAATTACTGAAAATAGAAAGATTGGTATTCAAAACAGAATTGATGCTGAGCAGTCCCAGGTGCAGGAGATGTAGGCAGTAAAGGGATTGCCTCGATAAACTATGATAGGCACGGATTCCACGTTGGCATAGAGGTTGACACAGAAGTCGAGATCTAAGAAACAACTGCAGCTTTGTGCCTGGAGATAAAGAATCAAGACATTTTGAATACTTTTCAAAGTGAGCCAAGGAGTGATTTTTTAAAACACATTTTAAGGCAACCTTAAAAAGTAGACTCTGTTGCAGAGTATACCTTTAAAGTGTTGTATTTTTATCTAGCAACAGATATTTGTATACTTAAAGTCTCAAAATAGCAAACTGCTATTTGAAATCATGAGGCACCTGTGTCAAAACTTGGTGCACAATTTTGATATAGTCTAGTTTTGGTCTGAGCTTGGGAAAAGAACACCAGCTGAAAGTGCCCAGGAGAGTGTTTGTCCAAGGAGGGGTAGGAAAGTGTGGAAGGGAAGGATCAAAGCATAAGGGTCTAATGTAAATACGGATGAATTCTGAAAAACAACCAGAAATCAAAATCTGTGACTCAATCGCTCTGACGTAAAACAGAAGCCCCAAGCTGCGCAGCAAAATAACCTTTGAAGGGGCTTGTTCATGCAAAGGAAATGAATTTTGCTCTGTTCTGCTGTTGACTGATGAAAACGGCCCCCGGAAATTCCTTCACATCTTTCCCACCATGCCTGTAATAGGCAGTAATAGGCAGTATTACAAAGGAACCTTTGGGTTGGCGGTCAGGTTAGGTCCTGGTTGCCATGGAACAGTCTGCGGGTTAGCAACACAAGAGGCGGGACAAAGAGGTATCTAGATGCAAAGGGGGGCACCCCCACACACCTTGGTGAACAGACCTTGGTTTAGGAGAAGAAAAGAAAAAAAAAATGAAACAGAGGGAAAACTTGAAAATAGTGTTCTGAAATCTATTTTTGTGTTTTCAGTTCTGCCTTTCCTGTCTCTGTCTTTGTAGTTTATGGCCTGGCAGGTAGCTTACAAAGCCAAAGTGCACCTGAACTTTCCTTATGTTTATCCCTTGCCTTTTTTTCTGGAAGCATAGACTCATGTCAGATAGACGTGCCATCTTCACTCTGAGAAGGCATGCAACGGAACTGATGCAACAGTAAGCAAATGCTGACCTTGGGGTCACCTTGGGCTCCTCTTTTTCTCTCACACTCCACATGCTA